GACTTCAAAAGACTTCAAGAGACTTCAAGAGACTTCATGAGACTTCATGATACTGCATTAGAATTCAAGAGACTTCAAGAGACTTCATGAGACTTCATTAGACTTCATTAGACTTCATGAGACTTCGTGAGACTTCATTAGACTTCATGAGACTTCATTAGACTTCATGAGACTTTATAAGACTTCATAAGACTTTATGAGACTTCAGAGACTTCAAGAGACTTTATGAGAATTCATGAGAATTCATAAGACTTCAAAGAGACTTCAGAAGACTTCGAAAGACTTTCAAGATTTCATGGGACTTCACGACTGAAGTCTCTGCTGTTTCCCCCTTGGACTATGGTCATTTGTCTATCGTATAGGATTCTATTTTGTCCTTAATTTGACTAGAACTTAAAAGCTATTGCTCAAAAATGTTTGTACAGTTTAACTTGATTTCTTGCGTTATTCTCTACAAATTCAATATTGAATATATCAAACATTCGTAACAGGCAATCGCAATCATTTTTCAAAGCGGTATTTTCCACTACTAGTACAATAGATCTTAGTCAAAAGATTCATTAAATAGAAATGAGATTTTCTTGCATAGAGCAAAATGTCATTATCGATAGATGAAATATCTTTCATTTGTCAGCAAGATCGAGAGTGACATAATCATTGACATGTCAAAATACCTACTATTGGGAATTCGATTTTGGATCACTTGTGACTGTTGTTAGCTTATGATGGAGGTAAAGATCACCAATGCCTTTAAATAACATACCAAGTACCGAACAAGTATGGATAAGATATCAAACAGTTAAGAGTTATGTTATGCTCTTTCAAGCTAAGAATTTCTTGTATAGACTATGATATACATATTTAATTACATAAAACAGCTCTTGACACGTGGACCAAATTGGTCCTGTATAGATGTGATCAGAAACAGAATTGATTTTCTGGTATTTACTCTATATTCTAGCTCATCAATGACGGCTCTCGCAATAATATTATTAATACTTGAGAAGAAGATGGAGAACAACGAGTAAAGATTTTTCATTCTACAAACAATCTACTTGTAGTAAATCGAACAAAAATAACTTTCAGTTCAACCATGAGTTAGCCATTTCAAGAATAACTATATAAATGAACATATTGTCAGCTAATGGTAAATGTCTTTCAATTGATGATTTTTATATCAATTTATATCGGTCAAATAGATATATTAAAAAAACATATATTGTCAAGAAGTAAAAGTCTCGAGTTTTTGTTATAAATAGATGTAGCGAACGGGCATGACTTTAAATATATCAATATGTTAATTGCAATAGAATGACAGTGTTAGTGAAAAAGAAAAAAAAACGAATAGATACGTTTATATTAAATTTCAATTGATACCTTGTGTGAATGATCTTTTAATTTTTCTTTTTGGTTTTTGTTGTTTTTTTTGTACAGCTCAATGTCTTTTTTCTTTTTTTTATTTATTTATTATGCAATTCGAATATTTCGACATGTTCAAGTTTATTACAAATAACACAAACACAAATACTTTTTCAAATGATGTTATTAATCTAGATAAAATTTATCAATTATTAGATACAATCAATCAAGTAAGTTTCGTTTTTATTACCAAGCAAATTCCCTCTATTTTTCTTTAACTCTATATGAGTCAAATAGGTAATCTAACACCAATGCAAGCAAAAGTAACTTACGCGGGAACCTCCCTTCGGTGATAACTTCCGTTCAAGGCCATTTGTACTTTGTATAACAGGAATGAATGAACAGGAAAAAACTTATCTTTTCACATACCCACACTCCATACTACCCCATCCAGATGGATTCTTTGCATAAAATTCATTAAATAAAAACTATTTCGTTTTCGATGATTTAGTTTTGAGCACGATTTTTTCAGAAGTGCCTCAAATTATGCAGAACTTGTTTGATTCCGAAAAAAAAACTCATATTTAGTATGTGAGGCTCTTCCATGAAATTGCCTATTTCAAAGTGAATAATGTTGCATGATGGCGAAACAACAAGGACTTTAGTGTTTAAATCCATTGTTTTCTCCTTTACAACTTAGCTAAATGAATGACAAAAATGAAAATTACTTGTTTCAGTTCGTTGAGTCTTTAACAAATCAATTTCACTATTTTTCAACTCAAGATTTCTCTATATTTTCTTTCATTTCTAAATTCATTGAAAATGTATATGACTCAAGAGCTTTCGCTTTTTTGTTTGTTTTTCTTCACATTTATGTTTGATCTTGTTCAGAGGTTTAGTTATTCGTAGAGTTTGAAAAAATACGATAGAAGTCGAGATGATTGCTGGAAGTAAAAGTCCTACTATGTTAATGTCATATTTTTGGCGAAAGCAAGGCTATTTTTCAAAACTCAAGGCCTTTTTTTAAGATAAAACTCGGGTGTGGGTGTGGATGTGTATGTATAAAATTGAATTTTTGATTCCAAGCATCTTACGACGCGTTTCGGCCTGTGTGTAGGTGTGGGTGTGGATATGAGTGAAGAGACGATAAACACCCACACCCTCAACAAGTGAGCCCAACTTTATTCTTCCTGAACTCAAGTAAGATTCGGTAAGAGCAGCATATCCCCGTAAGACCGAAAACCATTGGTCTTGCTCACGTCCAATTGCATAATGGGAAGTATGTTTTCAATAGTTCACATCTCGGAAATACAAACCAAATGAATTTGAGTTGACTGAATAAAATAAATACGTACAATTTATTTGAACATTTACAATAATTTATTAGATTTATCATGTTCATGATGGAATATTTTATTTAGTTTCGTTTTTCGTTGGTTTAAATTAGGGAAACCAATAATGATGCTTAAACAGTTGATACATCAATTTTTTTCTAATAAATGTCAACTAACACATCTTCGACTTGATATTGCTGATAATAATTCTTCTGTTAATATTCATAAATGTTTAATACTATCTTCTCATTCTTCTGCAAGTTCAATATCTAATAAAATGCAATATTGTTGTTTAATGCTTTGGCATTTGTATGTTTGTCTTAAATATACGTGTTTTCTTGAATATTTTATTGTGCATATACCTAATATTGAACGATTATTAGTCACTTTTAAACGATGGATGAATTTTGAACCTCGATCCAAGTCAAATATAGAAACATTAATAAAATCAAATAGAAATTGGTTTGAAAAAAGTAAGATGAATTTATTATGATTAGCTTTTTATCTTTCTTAAAATCATTAGAAAACAAAACATCTTGAGATATTCGACTATCAATTGAATCTACCTGTTAATGAGTTCTAGTCATGACACTATCGTAGTACGAACAGCATCAAGAACATCTCTAGCATGTGTGCCTAGAACATTCGAAGAAAACTTAGAGAAACTAAACTAGAAATTTGTTTTTAACAATTGCAAGTATTTTATTTTAATTATTATGAATTCTGTAAACATCGAACTTTGAGAAAATTGGTTTCTAATAAGAACAATTTATTCAAAAAATGATTTTTGTTTTTTTCTAATAATTCTAGGTACCAGAATTGAACTATTTTATTTTAAAAGTTTTTGTTAAGAATGATTTGGAGTTTGCTTATTTGACATGGATACTTAATAATTTAAATCATATCTAAAAATTTAAACTTCATCTTCAAATTTATAGAATGTATTCATCCTTAGATATAATGATTAAAGAATATGTTGTTGATGCAAATTTTATTTATCAATATTGTATGCCTGATATCATAATTAATATAACAGATTTTCAATTTTATATTGTTTCTGAATGTCAATTATTGTCGAGTAACATTGAAAAAATCATAAATTCATTTAAAATTCATCAATTTTTTATTAATCATCAATGAACAAATGTAACTTGTTTCTATGATCATATGCATAAAAAGCAACAGCTTTTAGAACATCGGCAATAGCAGCTACATCGTGTTTCACATTTTTAGTCCTGCAAGGGATTGCGCTAACAGCTTTCTATTCACTATCAGTTATAAAAAAATCAATTTAATCAAAAAATTTTGAAAACCATTCATTCGAAAAAGCCGAATTTTGAACGTTTTATACCTTGATTTTCATTTTTCTTCTTCTATGATTGATGTCAGTATACAAAACTTGATTGTTCAAATAAGACTATCGGTACATTTAGAGGATGAAGTCTACTTTAATCAATACAAACAAGTGATGTTTTTCATTTTTCTGAAGTTGTTGATGCCATTGAGTTCAAAGATATTAAGTTGGCATAAAATTAAAAAACATCAGGTGTTTATTCTCGATTATTTTGTTAAAAACATCAATTTAATCGAAATAAATCAGATCTTAAGTGTTCCACCTTGATAATCTTTATTGATTTTTGTTGCTCTTTTGTACTCACGTTTTTATAATATATCTTTAAATCGCTTGTGACATTTTCTGCAAATTATATATATATAATGTAAGTAACTCAATTAAAAATGGTCACAAGCTTTTTTATATCACATTATAATCAAGGAGAGAATACTAGAGAGATTTTTCTTAATTGAACAAGTGAGGATAAATAGTTGAAGTTTTCCAAAACAAAAATTTAAATCGGAAAAATCGAAAATATTACTTTTTAGAATTATCATTATAGACTTCATTGTCTAAATATTCGAATAGTCTTCTTTTAACAATGAAGTTTTGTATACTGATACCAATGATTAACAAAATTAAAATTCAGGCGCGAAACATTCAAAACCAGATCTTTTTGATAAAGTGTACTGGTAAACTTGTGTAATTAAATTTATATTTTGTATTTACAATTCATAAAGAACACCAAAATAAGCAACTTTTTTTAGCGTACCTCCATTACTATATGCTCTTGTAATAGACAAGCTGAATGTATAAGCACTACTCTGCTCTGCAGAACAGGAAAGGAGAAAACTTGCCTTTCAACGATCTCTTATCAATAACGAACTGCGACAACAATTCGTTCTATTATATAGAACAAACTAAGTCAATTTCATGTCCATTATTCAATGACATAAAAAGTTCTTTTTTCTTAATCTTTTTTTTCTTGTATTACAAATTACCAATATCGATTTGTATTCCATGATGCTCGAAAGCGGATTAAATGTTAAAACATAGATGTTAAAACAATTATTGTTGTATTTGTCGATTTACGTATCCTATGAATTTTTTAATTTAATATTCTCATAGATAACTTTATGCTTTTGTAATAAGATACTTTTGTTTTATTCGTTGTATTAAAAAACATTAATAAAATAATGTTATACTTCATCCGATAGAATTCATACTGTCTTCAAAAGTATACCAAATTAAAACAAAAGATGCGATCTTAGATACGTACAAAAAAGTCGCATCTCCTTCCAATATCCTGGACTCCTTTTTCGATTCACTTAATATAGTAATCAATGATAACGATAGATATATAAGAAATATAAACGACAAACATCAACAGTAAAAACAAAAAATAATGTGAGCCATTCGATAAAGATAAATATTGCTTTATTTCTATAGATAGAAACTACTCTTTTTTTTATTTTAGAGATAGTCCTTTGAACGAAGATATTTGTTTTAAAGATTTAATGATTAATAATTTGAATTTTCAATAAAATTCAACATCTATAAAGAAAAAAAACGGAATGATGCACATCTTCATTCTTACTTTGAAATTTTCCCTTTTTTTTTTCTTTCTTCTGTTTTGTTCAATCGTCATTCGTTTGCTTGAATATCGAGCGCACAACATTCAAGTTTTTCTTACACATTCGAAATGAATTGAACACAAAATGTTTAAAGACGACAAAGATGTCGTGCGCTCGATTTTTTTTCATATCGACACAAATCGGTTGTTGTTATTATGCACTACGTTTTATTATCACTCCGTAAATGGCAACGTCGTCTTTTCTCGTGTCTGTCCATCTCTTTTTACCTTTTCTTCCTTTCGTTCCTGCTTCTTCTCGTTCTTCGTAACAGAAAAACAAAAATTTAAAACAAACGGGGCTGTCGAGGGTAGCTCTAAATCAAATTAGTCTTCCCAGGAATATCCGACGTTCTGTTGGTAACCTGTACAGGTATGGAGATGGTAGGCCTTCATAATATACATCTATGCATGTATGATTAGAAGCGTCCATCTGATCATCGTCTTTTCGAAGATGATGATCATAGATGTACTAGTCATAAATACATAAATGTATGTTTGCCTTATCATTGCCAACTTTGTTCACCGTACAACCCAACACAATACGGAGGATATTCCTGGTAGCGCGTGCGCGAAATTTTTGCAGCTAGTGCGCTTCGGCGAGCCTTATGTTCATGAATAGCCAATTTATGTTCTCTTTTTAAAACAAAAAAAATTACATTTTTTTTCTCAGAAGTGCAATGTTATTTTGTGTTCGTACCATATCAGGATGTCCAGGAGGAAGCGATTTTTGGTACATTCCAAGTGCTTTTTCATAACATGCAAGTGCTTTCGAGTACTTGCTGATGCTATAATTCAAGTGCCCGATGTTGTTGTAGGAAGCAGCCAAGTCGGGATGATTCGCAGGGAGAGCTATTTTTTGGATTTCAAGTGATCGTTCGAACGATGAAAGTGCTTTCGAGTACTCGCTCATGTTATAATACACCACACCGATGCCGTTGTAGGACTTAGCCAAGTCGGGATGATTCGGAGGGAGAACTTTCAGACTGATCTCCAGATCTTTTTCGTAATAAGTAAGTGCTTTCGAGTACTCGCCCATGGTATAATACACCAAACCGATGTTGTTGTAGGAAATAGCGAAGTTGGGATGATTCGGAGGGAGAGCTATTTTTTGGATTTCAAGTGATCATTCGTACGATGAAAGTGCTTTCGAGTACTCGCCCATGTTATTATACACCAAACCGATACCAGTGTAAGAGGAAGCCAAGTCGGGATGATTCGGAGGGAGAGCTATTTTTTGGATTTCAAGTGATCGTTTGTGCGATGAAA